AAAAAAAAAAAGAAGTGTCTTCAGTGTATAAAATTTACATATTTTATAAATCCACCTCTCATCTTTCTTCTGGACAGACCACATCTGACTTCAAATGTACTCGTTCCAATCAAAAATGTTTTGTCAAGAATAATCCCCAAATAAACTAACTACACCTTCAATACCTAATCTGGAGCACATCTCTGCAATAATGAAATCTCCAAATAGTAATGTTTTCTAAACATACTGTGCATTTCCACTAATTTTCAGATATAACCCCTAAAGTAATTTTTGGCTTACCAACCCTAGAAGAGAGGACCTTTGCCAATCCTATATATAATAGTGTTTACAAACAACTCTAATGGCCACTTCCAAAATTTCGTTAAATTTTGTTTTTTAGAAAAATAGTGAATTCATTTCGCAAAAGGTAGACGATTCAATCTTTGCTGTCATTAACTCTTAATTATTCTTTCATCTCAGACCTTCAATGAGAGATTCAAAAGGAAAAATCCGAGGGAACTAGAAGTTTAAATTCCACCTGCTAGAATTTCTCGAGTCCAACAATCATCGCGAGGTGCCTTCCATTAGAGTTTAATGCTTTGCCAGGGTTTCCTTAAACAGTCCTACAGATAGTGGGCCCCAATATGTCCTAAACTAAAAGACAACCGACCAGGCCCCCTTAAGGAAGAGGAGGGGAGGAAGTCTGGGCGAGACCTGAGACGGACCCCACACAGGTCCGGCTGGACCCGGTGCGAGGCTTCGGGAGTTGCGGGACCCAGCCTGGCCCTCGGGGGGCGCAGCGGCGCACACCAGCGTCCCGGGCGCTTGTTTTCAGGGGGAACACTGTTAAACCACGGGCGGGGGCTTAAAACACACACACTTTTCCTCCTGGACCCACAACCGACCAGGCAGCGCTGGGCCTGTGCCCACCGAGTGGGGGAGCCCGGCGGCACGGGCTGAGGACGGCGCCGACACTTTCGCCCTGTCACTGACGGTTGGCACCGGCCAGCAACCGGGGGTCCCGGTCGGCCGAGGAACGGCGTTGCGCCACACCCAGGCGCGGAGCGGCGCAGAGAGGCTGTACCTGGCAGGCACCCACGTACCTATCATGGTCACTGGGCAGGTGGAGGCTGTTGGGCAGGAAACGACCCAAGCGCACCGGCACACACCGGCGGCGCTCGGGGGTTAAATCCACCAATCCTCCCCTCCCCCGCTCCTCGTGCTGGGAATGCGCACGCGCAGGCTGTGCGTGGCCCAGGGCTTGCTGGGAGTCGTAGTTTTAACGCGTAGCTTCTCCTCACATCGCCCTTTCCGGCTCAGGGCCCAGGAAACGTACGTCACTGGGGAGGCCGGGCTGCTGGCCCGCAAAGTTGACGAGTCGCTTAGCAACCGGGAGGCTTACCTTTCGAAGCTTGTTGCAGCTCTATCCTCGGTCCTGCCCTCTTCCTGCCCTTCCCCACCCCTAAACTCCGTTCACCTAGGAGCTGCCAAACATCTGGATCAACCTGGGCACTACGAGGGGTTGAATTTCTACCATTAACGCCCCTTTTTACATTTTTTTCCGACTTCCTGTTCACATCCGTAAAACCCACTGATTCTTTTACTACACTTTTTATGAGAACAAGACATTTTCTAGGAAGATGGTGGCAGAAAAAGAGACCCTGAGCTTAAACAAATGCCCAGACAAGATGCCGAAGAGGACCAAGCTGCTGGCACAACAGCCGCTCGCGGTGCACCAGCCTCACTCCCTGGTTTCTGAGGGCTTCACAGTCAAAGCCATGATGAAAAACTCAGTCGTAAGTGATCTTCCTGAATTGAATACACGCGCTCCGAATCAGGGAACACGATGCTATAGAGGTTGGCCAGCCTTAGGATGGATTCTGAGCCCATGTCCTGGGTGGTCTTTGCCATAAATGGCAATTACTCGGTCAGTAGCAAACGGTGCCCAACAGTGTGTGGAGGTCAGGCTAAGTTGTTAGAATCTTGGGCAAGTGATGTACTGTGCCCATGTATAAGCACCTTCCTAATAACTCATGGTCTCTGGACCACCCAAAATTACTCTTAAGCTATTTTACACGAAGAAAAAGAGCTCCTTTACTTATTAATTCCTAAACTAGCCACACTCAGCAAAGGGGCCCGTAGAAGGCGAATTCTTGGAAATCATGAACTCTTGCAAAATTTAACGTCAGGTGATATACAGCTGGGAACATCAACTCATTAAATAATCTGCAGTAAGAAATTTCACCTCTTCCACCCAGAAAATTTTAGAATATCCTAGCATGTACTCTAACAACACTAATTCTTCTACAAAATGATACCGACTTGTTAGAGTACTGAAAGACAACTTAATATGGAGACTATTTCTGGTTAGGCCTTCTAAATACGTTTTTAACAATCCAAGCTTTAGTTCAAATATCTATGCCTATTAATACACTTCATGTTTCCTTTCTGCTATTTGTGGTAGTAAATACCATTAGGAAAAAAAGGATTTAAAATGCACACAAATGTTTTAGCTACATGCATGATTTTTTTAAAACCTTCCTATTTGTTAAATAGCTTTAAATTTGGTATGCTAAACCAGATTCTGCTACTGAGTAAGCACCTGTCTGGGAATGAGACATTAAATAATAAATGCAGCTTTCAAATCTGTATAATTTATACCATGGGAGGATTTGACTTATTGCATGACAATTCATTATGTTAAATGCATAGTGATGGTTTCCAATGCCACGTTATTTCTTTTACTTATGTGTTGCTAACCTAGTACCTTATTCCTAAATCACATCCTTAAAATATAAAATGAAACAGATTACCTGTAGACCTCTAGGTCGGATTCCCATGTTGCTACACAAAATTCTATCCTCCCTATTGGAATGTGTGTCAAATGATTTATGGTAGTTAAGATTCTTGGAAATAGACTAAAATCCCTGCTTGTTGTAACTGCAGTTCTTTTTCATGGAATTTCACATAAGTAGGTTCTCGTGGGAGTCAAGATGACTCCCACGATGAGTCATTTATCAGCAATACAGAATGCCATAACCATTCAAGTTAATCATTTAGTTTTTCTTCTATACAATATTTATAATTTTGGTGATTTTTTTCAATGTTATATTTTAACATAACAAATGTTTTTATAGGATCAATTTTTTTTCTTTTTTTCCTAAACCAATTTTCGTACATTCTTATATCATGTTAATTTTTTAACATGGCTTTATACCTAAAGTCATAGTTCTGCAAAATCAGGTCTTTCAGTATTGCCAAATGTAATAAATACGCCTACAAGACTCAAAAACAAAACCATTGATTATGAAGTGGGCTCTATACAAACAACTTATTCTAGATAAATAATCTTCTCTTTTCATATTTTAAAGGAAAATCTCTTAGTGGCAATACCTCTCTCTCCATTGGGATCCTCAAAACTGGATGGGTCATTTTTTTTTTTACTTCGTTTAGTGGAAATCATAATTCTTAAATGTAAACACTAAGCACGGTTTTAGGGATTTGGCATTTTGGGATCAGCAAAACGAAGTCCCTATCCTTAGTACTCCAAGGAAAAACAGCAACAACAATGATAAAATCTTGATAAAAGAAAGGCAATACTGTTTATACAAAATTAACATCAGTGGTACTGGAAATAAAAAATTTTATATACAATATTTACATTTCACCATTTTTGTCTTCAGCAGTATAGACTTTTCAGTACTGTAAAGTAAAATATCCCCATCCCTTTCTGAAGATGTATTCTATTCTGGATATATGTACGTCAATTTTTAGCTTTCTTAATTGTAACTCTATGTTCCGAAAGCCACCCTCTCCAACCATTTTCCCAGTGTTAGGGAACTTCAGTTCCTCTTTCAAATCCTAGCTAATTAGACAAGTCACCATTCTAATTCTCTTCTACACAAGAAATTAAGAACTATATCCTAAAGAGTTATATAGAAACTCTTGATGTTTCTTCAAGTGCTATAATGATGTAAATACACAGACTCGATCATTAGCAGATTTGATCAGATTGGCTGTGCAAGCAGACATTCTTATTTAAACAGTCATAATCTGTATATGAGCATGCAAAATGATTTATAAAATAATGATAAATGTAAATGGCAAATTTTTTAAATCTTAATGTCAAATGTTCTTCAATAGTAAGTAGTTCCTTTATTTCCATGAAATTTTTGTTGCATTCTATATGAAAATAAGCAATCACAAAAGCCCTACAATATAATAATAATATTCAAATTCATATTTTTATAATGATTGCCTATAAAGAGTAATAGGAGATACAGAATTTGAAAACTTCAATGTTCATTTTTTATTTATGCCTTGTTTGGCGTATGATAGAGCTCGTGAACAGAAACTAGTAACCCAGTATTGTATTATCTTCATTTTGGCGTAGAGTAGATGTTTTCTGTGCTAATCTACTTTATCATAAAGCAAATTAGGATATGGATCCAAGGTTATGATGATAGAGAAGTTGAGTTATGATACTTCCACAGGTCTAGTAAGGTCTTCTGTGATCTAACCCTGTTCTACGTTTTTAATTTCATCTCCCACTATTCTCATTTGCTTCAGCCAATATGAACCTGGGAAACAAACCGTAATTCTTTATTTTTGTGATTTTACTTATTTTGTTCCCTTTACTTGAATGCCCTTCTTGCTACATATCTACAAATTCATTCTATCATTAGGTAACAACTATCTAGTGATCACTGACGATGTGCCAAGCCCAGTTTAAATGCTGGGAACTTAGCAGTCAACAAGACAGAACATTTGTTGTCAAGAAGCTTATATTTTGGTGGCCACCAAAATGCCAACTGCTTTAAAGAAGCCTTCCCTAATTCTTCCTCCCTGTCAATCAAGACAGAAAGTTATACTTTATTCATTGTTTTCTAGTTTATATTATGGTTATTTCTGCTCATGTTTTATCTCCTTACATTAATTCCTGGTGAAGGCAGAATCTGCATCTAAGTCATTTTTTAATCCTAACCAGAACCTAATAGTGTTCTCAATAAATATTTGATGAACAAGGAAAGCAATTGTACCCTTCCTTCTTATGTTCTCCCTCTTTCTTGTTGCTATAATTGTTATTGGTCTCTAGTTTGAATTGTTTTAACTACCCTCCCCAATTTAGGAGCCCATGTCACCTCAAACCCTCAGGAGGTTCCCCATCTCACTTAGAGTGAAAGCTAACGTTCTTGTAAGTTCTTGCAAGCCAGTAAGGCCCAATGTGACCTGGCTGCTCTTGCTTCTCTAAGCATAAATATCAGTACTGTCTCCCTCGCTCATTCAGTGCCATCCACACTGGCTTCCTTGCTGTTCTTTGAATACACCAGCTGCACGGCTGCCTCAGTGTCTTCGCTATTCCCATTTCCTCTGCCTGAAATGCATTTTCCCCTACGTATCACCATCTCTTGATACTTCAAATTTTTGTTAAAAAATTAGCTATTTAATGAGGCCTTTCCTGACTGCTGTATTTAAAATTTCAACCTCTTAATAATCCCCTCCATCCCTGTTCCAGCACTCACATCTCCCTTCCCTGTTTTATATTTTTCCATCTAATATTAATTTAGCTTATCCTGTGTTGTATTCCACGAGAGAGCATACTGTTGAAGGGCAAGCCATTTTGTTATTTCACTCACTGCTGCATCCCCCACCTCAGGAAAAATTCCTGACACATAGTATCTGCTATTTTTCTTTTATTGGTCCCATGAATTAATGAATGACTATATTTTATACTATAATTAAACAATCATCTTTGAATTATCAGCTTCAAAGAGAATGCTAATGATGTTATATAAATATTAAATCTAGGAATGAGAATAATTTACAAATGTTTTATGCAATATTTTTATTAGCTTATTATAAAAGTTATACATATTCATAACAAAAAGTTAAAGTAGTTTGGCTTAGAAAAGCTTTCTCCTGTGTAAGATTATGGGAAAAAATTTAGTCTTTTTTTTCTGTAGTTCTCTTCTAATTTCAATGTTCTATTTTAAAAGTTTGCTTCATCTTAAATCATTTTGGTTTAGAAAGTAAGGTAGAAATTCTGATTTTTATTCCCAAATGGCCAGAAAGTTGTTACATGACCCTTTGTATGGTTAAACTAAATCATACCAAATATCTTCATATTAAACTTAGGACTTCCTATTTAATTTAAATGATATATCAGTGCTATATGTATATTAGTTAAAGTAGCTTTGTTAATAATTAATATCATATATTAATGCTTTAATATATAATAGGGCTAGTCATCTCTATTCCATTTTGCTTTTCCAACCAATCCTATGAAAAGGCAGGGCAGACTATTTTCTTCCACTTAACATATAAATCTCAAACAATTTAATTTTTGTTGTAGTTTAGAGACACATTAAATGACAGAACAAGGAATGGAACCTATATTTCTAGATTTTTCTTACAATAGCTCTTTCGATAATTTTTTAACACTTTGGTTGATGCATAATATACATACAGAAAATGCACATATTGTAAGTGAATCACTTGGTGGGTGTTAAACCAAACACATTGGTGCGACCAGCACCCAAATCAAGAATTATCGGCAGTGCAAAACCCCTATCACTTCCTTTCTAGTCACTACCCAAACACACCCTGAAGCTAAGCTTATTCTTACTTTATTCAACTGATTATTTTTGCCTGTTTTTGTACTTACATGCATGAAGTCATAAAGTTTGTAATTGTTTTGTGTCTGGTTTCTTTCATCAAAATTGTTTGTGAGAATCACCCACATTGTTGCATACAATTATAGTTGTAAATAAATTCTTCATGTTTATTCCTGTATGGT